TAAAAGCCTTGCACATTGTGCAATTGACATCATAAATAATCGTACAACTAAACATTTGGTGCACTTTATATATTAACACCAAAAGTTTGTAGGTAAGATCAAAATCAAGACCCGATGTTGTATTCTTGACATCAGATTCAAAAATACCAGATTTTAAGTCAAGTTTTCAGCAATCAAATAAGTAAATAAATTCAATTTTTCAATTATTAAATAAAAAAGAAATTGAATCAATTTCTATTTGATGTTTAAATAAGCTATAAAAGACCCAAAACACAGTTCAAATTCAATTTCTAAATTATAAGATTATTTTGCATAACTCATCATAATTTTTTCTACATAATTGTACAAATTATATATATCCCATCTTAAATCTATATTTATATCAATTAATCATTAATCTACCTAAAATAATCTTTTCTTTTCATATTAAATTTTTCAATGTACAGTATACTACTCTAGCTGTTATTGATCTAAAAGCATTTGTTTTGTATAAGTGTATAATGAACATATTTACAGTAAATCCAATTGTAAAAGTTTCATAAAAATGAAGACTCAAATTAATTAAGTATGGGTTGTTATTTAATCCAGAGAAAGGTTTTTCTATTTTAAATATAGTTAGTTTTGTATTATGATAAGAACCATAAAATCAACTTGAATTTTCTTATTTTTATCATTACTCACCCAAAACATAGCCAATTTTATCATATAAGTAATAAGCAATGAAAGGCAAAAATTCATTCTTACAATCCTATTATATTTTCAAATCTAATTTTCTGATTTTTTGAAAATCTTTCCTAACTTTTATCTAATTAATGAATTTATACTTATGTAAATTTCCTCCTATGGGTATTCTTCAATTGACATGAAAGTACATAATCAAAAAGATCAAATTTGCAATATAATATTTACATAACAAATTTGCAATTCTAGAAAATGGATATTAGAATACAATAGCGATATCAATAATTTTTGTAAATTACCTTAAAAGAAAACCAATTCAAATCTCTTTCATCTAATATTCATTTATTTGCAAATTTCTTAAAATAAAAAGTCTCTTTTTAAAAATTGATGAATAAAATAAGATGTTTTATTAATTGAATGTGAATCTTATTGTTTTAAAATATGAGGCCAATCTTAAATTGTGATTAAATAAATAAATATTTTAATAATATTGTAATTTTGCACTTTATTTAATATTCACTTTATAGCTCCTCTCTAAAGAAACAGTTATTACAATGATTATCCTTTGGTACCAATAAAATTGGAATTATGAATTAAAGATTATTGAGCTGATAAATTTCGCTGTTAACCAATTGTTTTGTAGCATCCAATTCCATTCTTGATAACTATTGGATGATTATAAGGATTTGTTAATAATATTTCTCTTTTTGTTAATCCAATGGCTGTTACTTCTTCAGATGTACTAAGAATAATCTCTCTCGGCTAGTCTTCCAAATTATTTATTATTATACGATCAATGTTATTTTCTTTGAAGAATGCCAATTTGACATTTATCAATGATGTGTATAATAATTGCTTTAACTCCCCAGTTTAAACTATCCAAATTCTTAAAGAGTTATCTTTACTATTGGATAATAATTGTTTATCGTCTTAGGAGAATGAAAGAGAAACAATATAATCAGTGTGGCCTTACAATCTTTTATTTTCACTCAAATTTTAGCTATTCAATAGTATTATCAGTTAATGACTACCTGCTGCCAATATCAATCCGTCTGATGAATATGCCAAAGAAGAAACATCTACAATATTACCTATTATTTCAGTATACTTTTTATCTTATGTATTCAAGATT